GGGGTAGCGGCATGGGGTTAGCGCGATGGGGTAGCGGCATGGGGTTAGCGCGATGGGGTAGCGGCATGGCGTAGCGACCGCGTATGACGTTGCAGTGAAACTAGAGGGGGTAACTGCTCTGTGAGAAGCATTTGTCCATGCCGATCGCTATGCTACAAGAGTGGATTCTGCACGTGGGTCAATCCTGCAGACGTCTCGCTACCATCACACCCATACTAACCAGTCAACTTGCAAAAAAGGACATAAAATTTTTCATCCAATTTGATGTGCTTCTTCCCTTTCTTATCACTATTCGCCACATGTTGTATATATATACATATAAAATTTATGCACGTAAGTAAATACTGCCTGTCATCTTCTTCCTTCAAAGTGAGAAAAAGGGGTGGCGCTGCATGTGGATCCTAGTCTCCCTCCATGAGGGTGTTACGTAGAGATGTGACACCACTCTGCAGAATTGCAATCGTACCCTAAAGAGCAAAGTTGAATTTTCCGCGTCGTAGAGCAGCTTGTCTGGAGGGGTGCGCTCCTCCAATGCCTTGTGCAACATGAGCCATATCTCCTCAAATTCTTTTGCCTTGCATGAATTCAGGGTGGCTAAAAGGTCCGGCTTGCGGGGAAGTAAAAAAAAAAAAAAAAAAAAAAAATAGCGTAATATACACACACCGGCGGACACCTTACCCAGCAACCCGCTTTCCGCTTACTTTCTTTTTGCACAACTGTTTCAAGTGCGCCAACTCGCCGAGGTTGCTTATAATGTCTTTATACATCTTTGTGCGCAGTGTGGTGTATTATCGTACTACTTATGCAGTTCATATGTGAGTAGTTACTGAGCTCTACAACTACTTAATGCTTAGGTACACAACTACGTAACAGCATGTATAGGTCGTTGTCCCCTCCCCTCAGCTAGCTCGACTGCTTCACTTCCTTTCCTGCGGTAAAACAAGCTAAAGATGGACAACCGATGGGGTACTTTCCCGCGAGTTTTCAGTCAGACGTGTTCTCTACCCACAATTCAGTGACCACCTGCGCGCGTTGCGGGTATCACGTCACAGGTTCAGGTGCATAAGCTGTTCCACCATTAACGCTCTGCCAGCCCTTACCCATTTATTTTTTTTTCCCAAAATTTCCACTACTACACAATAACGGTGTATTGACTTTCGCTAATTATGCGATGTTGCTGAATATGCTAAAAAAAAAAAAAAAAAAAAAAAAAAAGACGGCAAAAAAAACAAAGTAAAAAAAACAACAAAATGTAGAGCAGAAACATAAGGAAAGAAAAAGAAAACGCGGTTATTTAGGCAGCAAACACGCAGACACAAAATCAGCGCGTGGCAAACGTGTAGTAGAAAGAGGGGGAAGGAACGAGAGCCACGGATATGGACATGTTCGAGCGAGAACACGCCAAGGCGCCATGGGTAGACCGTGACGAGATAAACACATACACATATGCGCACACACGAATGCTCACACGCGCACCAAATGGAAAGGGTTCAAATTTATAAGTTGGAGCAAGCAGGTGCGCAATGTCCGACGGTCAGAGAGACAGACACACGCATAGGCGCCCACGTGCCTAAGTACATACATACATGCACATATGTATGCACGTACAAGGAGAAAACAAAAAAAAAAAAAAAAAAAAAAAAAAAACTTACAAAAAAGGCCAGCTACACGCATAAGCACTCATGCGTGAACGCTCGCGCGTGAGGAGATGCCTAGCCCTTTAGGGCTGCTCGCTCAGCGACTTGAGGAGAAACACAAAAATAGCTGTCTTGGGAAGGAAGTACTCTTTCTTCCCCTCCTTCTGGGTCGGACGATAAGAAGCTTCCACAAGTACAGCGCGCTACTTCGAAGGACCATTCGACATGCACAAGAGCAATGGAAAGACAAAAAAAAGAGTCACTAACCCATTTTTATTATGTCCAAAAGAAGAAAGACAAATCACTTGTTCTCGTCAGACGAGTCGATGTTAATACATTTATACACTGCACACTTATCATTTGAGTTCAAAACTTTTCCCTTCATTTTATCACTGACCTTATTAACTTTTAGCATATTCGTTTGTGAGTTTTTTTTTCCACATGGATACTCATTTTTCATTTTCCTTTTTTTATACAGTTGCATTTTCTCATTGAGCATATTGTTTGAATTTATATTTTTTTTCTCGTCTGAAATGATCAGCAGGTTTTCTTCCGTGGCTCTCTTCCGCTGCACACTGTACATGTTGTTGCTGGTGCTGTTGTTCACGCTGTTATGATGCATGGTGGTGGAGTTACTAAAAAGGCTACGAAAGGTTTGTAACTTGTTATTGTTCGGTAGGGTGCTGTGGGGATGGCCATGCCCACTACTAACTATGTTAGGCATACTAGGCATGCTGGGTAGGCTGCACTTATGCTGACCAACGTAGCTACGGTTACCCATGCCCCTTCGCTGGTCCTTAAGAACGTTATGGTTGATCGTCAAGCTGCCCAACGAGCTACTATTCGCACTGCACTTCTTCTTCGTGATATTCTCAATCAACATACTCATATTTCTACATTCACCCTTGTCGCTGTCTCTCTCATTAGCCATTTTTGTCATCACCTGGTACTTGCCACTATGGCAATCTTCCTCCTCACTGTCCTCATCATTATCGGAACAAATAATTATGTGTGTCGTGGAAGACATTTTCTTTTCATTTTTGTTGTTTTTCTTCTTGTCCCAATTTTTCCTAGCCAAATCGTTAGATAAAATTTTGTTCTGTTTTTTTTTTGTTAACGAATTCGTCTCCTTCATGAGACTATGTTTAACCGATTCGCTTGTTCTTTTCTTTGTGTACATTTTATTATTACCCAAATCAGTTGTTGTTCCTGAGCCTCCAACTCCCATGGGGCTGCAGGAACTCACCTTGCTTGTCATGTCCATGGCACTGTACACACCTGAGTGGTCATTTTTTGCAAATCCATATTTCTTATTCGATGCATTTTGGAAACGCTCCTTGGAATTGGTCAGCAGCAAGTCATTGCTCACCATACCACCACCAACACCCCCTTTTCTGTAGTTCCCTTTATCGTCCACCTCTCCTTTCCCTCCCCATTTGCCTTTATGCTCCTCTCCACCATTTTCATGCTCATTAAGTACACCTCTCTCCCGTGCACTGTTACGAACCCTATAATACGCATTATTCAATTTGTGCATTTCGTTAGTGTCAAACAGAAAAACCTTTTTATTTCTTCCTTTATCACATGATATGTCCACTTTATATTTCTCCTGGTAAAACTCTACTAGGGCTTCTATATAATCAGGAGCGATGATGATGTTGGTCTTGTACCTGAAGTTAAACAGGTTGGTCAATATTTCCGACACGGTCATGTAGGGGAACTTGATAAAATGCTTGTTGTGTTTTTCCACCAGAGCTTCAAATCCTGCTGATATCATATCTTTTAAAAAACACTTTTGCTTAATAAACATTTTTATATAATTTAAAATGTCGTACGAAATGTCTACAAATTTTTTAAAAAATTTCTCCAACGCTTTGTATTCTTCCTTCTGTCCACTATTAGGGTTGGCACTTTTGTTCGCCTTGGAACCATGCGCTTCCACATCCGTACAGCTTTCACCGTTTTGGGCGGGCCCCTTAGCTTTCTCTCCCTGCGCCTCTGACAATGCGGCGACGGCGCAAGGTTGGGAGCTGGACGTTACTATAGTGGCCGCCGCTTTGTCCTCCTCCTGGCCATTCCCCCCGGTACACTCCTTTTTTGACAAGCCATTATTCTGCACACAGCTGTAAGCGCTGTCCCCCATCTTCTCCCCTTCTATGTGCTCAATAGTGCTATTATTAGAAAAGTGCAGAGACACACTGTCGCAGTTTCCTTCCGCTGCTTCGTTCTTAACAGCGCTGTCTTTACAAAAGGAGGGAGTAAAAAGAGATTCCACGTTGCCCTCGAAATGGGCTACACCTTTGGGACTCTCCGCTGTTTTCAAGTGAACATCGTTATGCGCCTTCTCCTCCGCTTCTTCAGATGCTTCATCCCTACCCTGCCTCTCACACATGGCGCCCTTGTTCTCCTTTTCTGCATCCCGTGCATCTATCAATTTTCCACTTTGGGGTGGTTCCTTGGAGCTGGGCTGGCTATTAACAATGCCACTTTTGCTGCAATCGGTGGCTGCTTTGCTTGCACCTCGGCTGGCGGAGGAACCCACTTTCGGTCCGTTTGCGCCATCACCCAAGGTAGTGGCCGCCGAAGTAGCAGTAGCGCCCCCCGAAGTGGTAGTAGCACCCCCCACACCGTCTCCACCCTCGCGAGCCATCTTCTCCTTATACTCCTGGAAGGACCTCCACGAAGACATGTCCTTCAGAATACCATTCAAATGCGCCTTATTATTTTTTTCAAAAATGTGAGAGTTCTTTATCTTGCTAACGAACTCCTTCTCACAATTAATGAACACCGTAATGTTGTAGTTGAAAATGTGTTCGAACCAGATCCTGCAAATGTCTATATCGTTAAGCGTGTTGGACGTTTTGTTCATAATGGTTGTGAGCCACCTCAGCTGCTTAATATCTATCTCGATGTAATCGTCTAATGTTTTGTCAAAATGGTTCAGAATATTCTTTTGCTTATCTCTGACCTGAACAAATATGCTGTAAATATTTCCCCTTATGATTGCCTGTATATCTTCTATGTTAACCTCCAGGGGGAGAGCATCCAATTCCTTTTCTAACTTTTGGAAGGAGCTGATAAACTCTGGGGGAATGTGCCTTTCGAATTTTTTCCAAGCAAAGGGGTTGAATATGATATCCTCTTCAGATGCTTCAGATTGTTCTGCCTCATCTTCATTTTCGTCTTCAGACGAGGATACCTCCACCTGTTCTTCACTTGAATATATAATAAAATCGTTTACATTTTGTTCATAATTTATTGTATCCATGTGGGACTCGTTTAACTCTATGACACTATTATCAGAGGAAATGGAGCAGGAGGAACTGTACGCAGCGTGCCCCCTGTACTCATTACCGCGTTTGCGAAAATTCGCGTCGCTCGCGTTGTCATGGCCACTTGTGTAACTGTGCATGCCATCTGCTATGCTTGTTCTGTCCCCATCGCCACATTTTCCTTTGCCCGCTCCCACCTCGTTCGTGCACTCTTTGGTATTATTCTCTTCCCCTTCTTCATCGCTACAATATACATACTTACACTTGGAGCTGTAAAACGAGATGAAGGACTCCGGGTTTATGTCCACATAATCGTCTGACATGTCAGCACTCCACACGCTGTACTCATCTTCTATCTGTCTTGTGAGAATTATTTCATTTTTCGTTTTGTTCAATTCTTTATACATTTCTTCGTCATCCAAAAATGGATCGTTAATGTCGTAGAACATGTCCCCTCCTCCAAGTTTGAAATACGTTGTTGGATCTCCCACTAAATGCTGAAGGTTTATTCTATCCGACAACGAGTTTATACACTTTAACAAGGGGTCTAACGACTCTTGCTTCCTTTTTTGGAGATTAAAATTTTTAAAATCTTCACCTGGCATAACGGAGGTACCTACCCCCATGCCTACGCTGCTTGAAATTTTTGGCACATTTTTCCCTTTTGCCAGTGCCAATTTGTCATTCGAAATGGGCATATTTCCCATGCTCTCCATATTTTCACATGAAAGATGTGGACTGTGTACATGTCCCACCATTTCAACATTTTCGTTAATTACTACATTACTACTACTGTTATAGTTTTGGTAATACACAAAGCTGCATTCATTTTTATATTTATTTAAACATTCCGAGTAAAAGTCAACCACAACGCACCGTTTTCTTACATCGTCCAGGTTGACAAATATGTTGGTGCCATGTTTATATCGCTGAAGTATGAGGTCTTTCTCATCCACATTTTCTTCCTCTACTTCTTCCCCTTCATCTGACAAATTCGTCTCATCATGCAGCAGATTTTCCTCCTCCGTTTCCCAAATGCTTTTATTTTCCATCAAACCGCTTTTCCTTTCCTCCTTCTCCATGTCCCCATTCGTCTTCACGACAGGGTTACGGATATTATTATTGTTCATGTCCATACCATTTTTGCTTACGCTTAGGCCAAAAATGTCTTCGTTATTTTCACTTTTATTTTCTACATTGTGGAAACTTACGACTTCGACTTCTTTTTTTTCTTCATTCACATGCAGCGGTTCTATTTTGTTGGTCTTGCCTTTTCTTTCATTTTTATAAAAGGCCTCTGTTTCATTTTCGCCGCCTTTGTTACTTTTTTCGATAGTAGCCATTGATTTTCATTCTACTGAAAAATGTATGAACGGGTCAGGCAAATAAAAAAAAAAAAAAAAAAAAAAAGCTAGCTCATTGGGCTTGCGTATCTCCTTCACAAACAACGAGGGCTTTTCGACGCTTACTGGGGTTTATTGCAGTACAGTTACGTGCAGATGACCAGCTGCGCTTGGGCATCCCTAACCGGTCTTCATTTCTTCGGCGAAAGGTCCCAAGTTCGCTTGGACCCACTTCGCCTTCTTATGCCGATTAAGCGTGCTTGGCGCACTCTGGTGTTCTGCGCGTTTTTCCCCTTTGGCGGTTGCGCTTGTGCCGCTTGTTCTGCTCGTTTTGTTTGTTTTAATTTTTGCTCCGCTCAGTCGTTGTGTGCGCATCAATCTGCATGTTTCACGTAATCCTTTTTATAACTGAGCTTCGTTTTGCTTTTTGCAAAATTGTGCAAATTGTATGTGTTCGCATGTGCGTATAACTTTGTTACGTTTTTTTCTTTTTTTTTTTTTTGAACTTTATTTTGTTCAGGGTTTAGGGTTCAGGGTTTATTTAATTTTTATTTCTTGCTCCCCCTTGGCAATATTCCCCTGTGGCGTGTTCTTTGCTTAATTCCGTTCAGAATTTTTGCTGCGCTTGGTTCGTTTCGTTTATGTCGTTTGCTTGGCTATTATATAGTGTCTTTGTCGATACTGGCTGCCGAGCGCCTTACTTACCAGTGCGGTGCATTTTACGCAATTGGGAAAAATGGTATACTGTATGTGCCATGTCATGTATTGCACTGCATGGCGCTGTGCTACATGTGCATTCGGACGATCAACTTGTGCGTGTTTTCCCCGTCTGCACGAGACTCGCCAAATTCGTGTGCGCGGAGTTAAAGGTAAAAATATGCACGGACATGTGCAAGCGTATACAAAAATAGGAAAGCGAAAACACGTGTGGATAAATGTCCATGCAATGGAATGTATACAAGGGACCTACGCTCGCTCACGTGGTGTATGGCGAGCGTTTTTGTGTCAACCCCTCCTCCTATACGTAAATATACGCAATGGATTAATCAAAGTGGGGAATTTTTAAACGGGCACATGAATGTGTATATATGTACATGTACGCATAAATATATTCGCACATACTTCATGCCAAGTGTGGAGGGTTACCCAGGACATGTATTTTGAATGCTTAACAAAACAGCTCTTGCGCAATGTTTTGTCAACAACTACTCTATAAAAATAAAAGGGAAAGGACTGAATGAGTTAAAGTGAGCACGTGAAAGAAAGGATATGCGCTACTTCCCCTTCAGGACGGAGTTATTAATAAGCACGCATACATTGTACATTCATATGCACGCCCATACGTTCCATGATACGTATTGTGTATATGCGCATTATTTTTCTGCCCAACTTTGCTTTTTTCTTAAAAGCATAATCTTTGCTTTAAAGAATTTTGCTCTATTTCATAACATTTGGTGGGCAGTAAACGTTGCGGAAAAAAAAAAAAATAAACAAATAAATAAATGCACAAAAAAAAATAAACAAAAAAATAAAAAAATAAAAAGCAATAAAATGACAAAATGTCGAAAAATAATAAAATAAATAATTTCATAAAATATGGTACTAAATCTGCACATTAAAGATGCCGTTTCCCTTGTTTAACATTTCTCCTTCTCTAATTTAAAAAAAACACGCGCTTTTCATTTTGCGTGTCCATCACACCTTTGCCAAATACAATTACATAAATATAGTGTAGTACACAAAAATTCTCTTTTTTTAGCAACATATATTTTGTCTCATTTTATCCTCCTTGCAAGTAATTCAATATAAGCTACATTTTTCTATTACTATTTTTCAGAGTCAACAAAAGTTGGGTAATCTGTTAAAATATGGTCCGTGCCTCTATTGTCTTATTTGCTATTGCCGCATTAGATGAATATATTTGCTCCGCAGAACAAAAAAATAAAAAAAAAAAAAAAAAAAA